TACGATAGTCTGAAATAAGTTTTACAACCGTACAGCTGATTTTCTCATTTAATTGGTTTTTTACACAGAATTTCAACGAGGTTATGGAATATTTCCTTGAAGTAGCATCTTTTTCCTTCTGCTACCGTTATTAATATTAATCCCCGCTGGTGGCAATATTTCAGGCTTACACATGCCTAGAATAATCAGTAACTGTCTTCCGCTGTCAACCTCTCAAAAAAATCTAGTAACTTCTTTGCCTTTCATCCTGCACTTCGTATCACTTAAAGATTTCAAAACATGAAGCTGTCTGTGAACCACGCAGATGTCCTTACGTTTTGGAACCTATCCATTGAAGAAAAATAAAGCCACTTCTAAAAGAAAATTAAAACTGTGTAACCTCTCTGTCATTAAGTTTCTTCCTCTAGAGTAAAAATTCACATGATCATATAATTTGAGGTGAAAGACTGGTACAAGGACATTTGTACTGGACATGTTAAGGTTGCAGCGGTCTAGCGTTTCGTTCTAGTGTAGGAACAAAGTTGAAAGATGAAGTAAGTAAAGTACCTTTTTTTACATCCTAAATTTTCTCAGCGTTAACTAGCAAGATGTTTTCAGACATGATTAAGGGATGTTACAATAGAGAACTTAAGCAGAGAAATACTCTAGACGCGGATAGCATGACGCAAATTAACAAAGGGCGCTTTGACAAAGCCACCTTGACACAAATGAATCGACCGTACGATGGCGGCTTTAACATTCTGAACCAAATTGTGCTAATCATAGTTAGCATCAGGAGTGGGTAATTTTAACTTTCTATTGACGTCCGCCTAATATGACGTTGTTTTAAACTTTACCCGAGGCCAACTTCTCAATGTTATCTTCACCATCCCGAATTTTCGATTGCGCAGCACAAGGAACGCTACAGAGCAGGAATTAACGGCAAGGTAAAATATATATTGTATTCACTGAAAAATATTTTACAGAAAGAAGTCCTTATTATTTTTCCTTATTTAATACGTTTCTTTGAAGAAAGAACGAGAGCAATTGAGACTGTGGTATGTTGTGCACAAAACAACTGCAGTGAAAAATAATTCCATGTAAGCCAAGAAGCAAAAAATTAACATTTAAAGTGCATTTTTTAAAACAGTTTTTCCTTTATTTAGTCACAAACTTTTTTTATAAGAGAACTGTTCTATGAGTTGTGTCGCTCTTTGGGAATTCGAGATAAGTTGGAAGCAAAAACCCAACCTAATGAGAACCTTTGAAAAGCGACGGAGTTGGATGTTTGACAGAAATACACCTAATAAGACGTCTTTCAAGGGCCTACCGTACATGAATCATTCATCATATAAGAAACTCATCATGTAAGAAATTCGAAGAAAAAACCAGAAGGCCCTTTGACAAAGTAATTTCACAAATGAATTCAGGATACGCAAATTATTGGTTCAACGGGAAACGAATCCAAATGAATTTCCAATGCGAACCTCTGGAGCCATATCAGGTAATTTTAGTTCAATTATAGTCGGATATCTCATCGAGAATGAAGTGTTTAACTCTTTTTGGCAAGAAAAAAAAATTTGCCTGCCCTTCAAGACATTTACATCTAATGTACTAAATGTATTTTTTACAAGCCGATATTAGGAAGAAAAAAAAAAGCAGAAACAAACTAAGCAAGGAAACGAAAAAGGTGATCGCCCATTTTTGGCTCTCAAGGACTTTTATGAACTGTCTATATTGACTTAGGTCATTAAGTGGAAGAAGGAATTCGTCAGCCATTCTCAACAAGTTCAAGTCTAGTCATGGCACACCACTGAATGAATTTAGCGGAAAAATTCAGCACGTTCGCGTAAAATTGGATATATGATGATACATAGAGAATAATACATAATACACAGGCGCGCGTAGATATGGAATTTCTCTTCGAGCGTTTAACTCGAGAGTTCATGAGTAAGCACCGCGAACGAGTGAGATGTCGGGTTGAACACGAGAAGAGAAATTCCATATCTACAAGCAACCATGTACTATTTTGTTTATCATATAAACACAATAGCCCTATACCGAAAAAGAAAGCCGACCTCATTGATGAATGAAAGTAATTGAATCGACAATCCCGAATAACAATCGTAAAGTGCGTTGGTGGTATCTCTTAAGATGGAAAAATGCGTTGAATTGTGATTCAAAAACATGTCTGCGTTGAATCATGATTACAAAAACAACAATGATCGTAATTCTCGATTCACAAAATTATTATTTATTGACTTTGTCCATAAGAAGTCTTTCAGGTAAACGGCCAAAATCGGTCAGTGGCAAATCTTTCAGTTGTCGATTTTCATTGGCTAGAAATGCCAACACCAAAGCCACTGAATAGGTAACTTTCGGTTTTTATTTTCCTATCTTGGTTTTCTTCACCTTCTAGGAGAGTTTGAACCTCACTGTCTGTCAGCGATAAGGATTTTTTAGTGTTTTAGCCGCCATAATCCAAGAGAGTTCCGACAAACTACCTTGTATTGAGAATCGTAAAGGCTTTGCCGTTCATTCATCAACCTGACCGAGTGGCGCCAAAGGCGAGTGACGTTTCAGCAGCTGATTAGCTATCTCGACACACGTGAAAAAATACGTTTTGTAGAACACCGCAGTTTATGTGATAAATTTCTTTTTTTGAGGAGAATTTCTTTGTTTCGTCATGTTGTAAGCATGTTGTTCAAAACAAAGAGATGCACTATTCTGACAGTTACAGTTCAGCGAGATTGCTTTAGCGGGAGTTCAGTACTCCATAATTTAGTTCTGGAAGGCGGGTTAGAATACATTTACCTGTTATACTTTTACAAGCAAACAATTAAAACCGTCTAGTCATAAATACAATTGTTGTTAGGTCGTTAGCAAGATTTCAATTTTACCGAAGTTGCGGCGAAAGTAAATTTAATTTCTACACCTGATGATCATGCCTAACAGAGCTACCGTATTATTAATTTTATTATTAAAAAAATAGATATTCTGTAAACAAGTAGTTGGGAAAAGAAACTGGAACATTACTTTGTGTATTAAATGTAATAGGTTAGTCAGCGCTCTGTTTGTGATGAGAAGGTCTTTACATGCTGCTAAAGCGGCTTTCATACCCATGCAGATATAGAGGCATGATCCATAGGTTCGCTAAACCTGTTCCAGTTCTTAGCATGATCACCAATCAAACGATTGACTATGTGTATAATGTTCATGGGAACAGAGTACTAAACTGGAATCATGAGGTCCTCAGCCCTGTCAACCTGCAGACTTACGTTGATGCTCTGACAGCCAGGGGAGCCCCACTGCCCAATTGTTTTGGATTTATTGACGGTACCGTTAGGCCTATATCAAGACCTAGAGAACATCAGCGACTTCTTTACAATGGCCATAAAAGGGTTCATGCCCTGAAATTTCAAAGCATTGCTTTGCCAAATGGCTTGATCGGAAATCTATGCGGCCCAGTTGGTAAGTTACAAAACAGCACAGGCCACCAGCTTTAAAGCAGGGATGTGACCAGCTTTTTAAGCGATGGCAGGCCTGATAAATGCATGACACCAAATGTTAAGAACGAGTCTTATGAAATGAAAATTTTCAACCCTCCTTCAAATTTTGCATGCAGTTAGGTACTCAGGGGGGATGCACAAAAATGCTCTTTTTAGAGGTTGCAACACTTTTGTTGCCATGGTAACAATGGATGATTTTTCTCGGCGGAAAGGCCATACCTACAAACAAAAATTTGCCTAAAAAGTGTAAAATGTAAATCTCTCAATCTCACGTCTGTTTCGACGATACAACTTAATACTTACAGTACACATAGTGATATTGTTCATCTTTATTGTGGCGCATTTAATTTTTCATGAGAGTTAATGTAAATACAGGAATCGATGATTTATCAAGGTACACTTTCGGTCATTTTGGCTAAAGAGTAAAACAACTAACATATTTTTCTTAATTTCTCCAAAAGTACTGAGACTAAAGTCCTAATTAGTTCTAATGTTCTAGTTGCTAATTCTGTAAAAATCTCTGCGGGACGGTTGCTACTTTTTATAAGGGCAGTTCACGAACTGACCTCAAAAATCTGTTGTTGCATATTTTGGTAATGTTTACATTTTGAGTTTTCAGCGACAAATTTCACAGACAGACTAACTAGACATACGTTTAAAAGAAGTCTATCTCATGATCAATGTCTCACAGGAAACTACCGCTTCTAGCCGTTATTTTACATCAGTCAAGATAAAGCTTTCCGTGAACTCTCAGTCTCATAATTAGGCTCAATGCATGGGTTCCTTTCTGCAAGGAATCATCCTTAAAATGAGTTTCAAAGGAAGTTGCATTTTCCTTTGGCTATTGATTCGCTCTAGTGTTCATCGTCAGAGGTTACTGACTTGCTAAAAATATCAAATTCTGCCGACAATTCCACCATAAAGTGACAGCTACTTCAATAATGAGCCAGCAACCACGCATGAAATGTTCACGATCATTTCATGATAGGATTCAAGCTTTGTTTCCCACCCCAAATATTATCTCGAAAGATACAAACTAAGTTCTGGTAAGTAACAGAGCCAAAAAGCAGAAATCACCTTCTTTAAACGGGCGATTGACCCTGAAAACCACACACCCTAGATGAAAGTAGAAACCACGTTTGGTCAGCGGATTTGATTTAGAGAATATGCCTGTCACTACGGACTCAATACTGTCTCTACATTTATTTTCACCATTTGCCACTGTTGTTCTTAAAGCAAAATATTGCCGTTTTTATTCTCTTTTGCTTTAATTTATTTGTTAAGACTGGCTTTAGTAACAGGCCTATATAACAACCGACACAACATATGCTCCAAGCAGTCCATGTACACGACGGTAATGATACTTTTACTTTGAGTTGCATGCAGCTCTTACGTAGCCTTGCAGGTGCAGCTGTTAACAAAAGAAACAACACAGTCAACATAAGGCGCCTTTCGCCGTCCTGAGACTTGCAAGTCGAATTCTTCAGAGATTGCCTTGAGCGTTGTCAAGCGTAGCATAGACAGTTCATCCTTCGACATCTTACACAGCTTGAACTCGTTGAACACGATTGGATGATCGTACTTATTTGATTCTTGCTGTAGGGCAACTATGACATCTTCGGTAACTTCCTTTAAAGCATTCTCTAATTGAACTGCGTCAATTTCCGATTCACTGAGCTGCCTTCGTTTGGCCGCAAAGGGAGAAAAGTACGAGTTAATTTGTTGCGGGGTCAAGAATTCTTCCATTGAAAACAACCGCTCATTTTTTGCATCTCTGGCTTTTCTCATATCTTTAGCTACAGCCTCTCCACTTTCCTTTTTCCCTAACTTCTCTCCGTGTAAAAACCTGCTTTCAAGATACGATTTTTGCTTTTCATTGAACCTTACTACCTTTGTCTTTGATTTTAACGCCCAGCCCATGTCTGGCAAAGGTGACGATGGGCTACCGTGCACCTGAACACAGGAAAGGTGTTTGGTTTGGCCCTCTTCTAGACGCTGTGCATACAACAATTTTGCCCTGTCTTGCAAGGTAATTTTTTCCAACGATCTTATATGAGCGCAAAAAATACAATGTTTCTCCAGTGAAGAGTAATGTACAAAAGATTTTATACACCCTTCTTCGGGACAAGAAAATATTTTCGGCATAGAAGCTTCAGTACAATCTTCGTGTGGGGAAGCGGAATCAGAGCTTGTTAGATCACTCGAATCTGACACTTCATTTCCTGCCACGGTGACTTCATTTGCCTCACCAGTGTCATTGTTTGCCTGCCTCACACGAGCTGAATTTTGAAAGACAGGCACAAAGTCGCCAAATCCAAAGGACGCGTTTTCTAGCCATGGGAAATCTATTTCTTCCGGCACTGCAGATTGACGCACAAAACAGACGTATATTAGTTGATAAATTTTTCATTTTAGTAGCGAATCGTTTTTACAGAGAGTGGTTAAACTTGAAAGGGCATGGTTAACTTATCAAAAGCTGAAGTATTCTCAAACCCTGCCTTAGCACACTTGTAGTAATTTCTAACAAGGTATAAGGTATGTCGAAAGTCTTTTTTTCTTACAGCACGGTAGAACTTCAAGTGCAAATGAAAGAGTCTTTCATTTGCAGCCACTCATGCATTTCTGCATGTGATCTTGTCGCGTACCCAAGGGTTGGGATTACGTTGAGTGTCAACCACATATACACATCCGTCTCATTCCAGTTTTTATTGAGTACAACGTGTTACAATGCGGTGAAAACTAAAAGGAGATTTATGATTGCGTAATCAGAAATGATTCTATGGAAATTACAAATGAATGTAACGATAAAAAAGGCGATTAAATGTACAAAGGAAACTCACGTTTGATCCTGCGTAAAAGGGGTAAAAGAAACTCCGTGGGAAAGTGACTCCAGTTACTCCGAAAACTCCAATAACTCCGATAGAAAACTCTAGATGGATATACTCCGACAACTTACTCCGACACTCCGATATGTGATACTACAGAGATTATGTAAGCGACAGGCTTTAAACATGATAGGCGGCTAATAACACGATCAAATACGCTCTGATAAATGATTAAAAGAATGAACAATGAAACGATAATAGAATTTAAACGATAGTAAATAATCACACAAAACAAAACAGTTCAGTTCATTTCAGTTCAGTTCGCTTGCTGAACGTTCGTCACAGATCTCTAATCAACAAGGGACAATACTCGTTCAGTAATAAGAGAGTCAGTAATATACTAGAGCTGTAGAAAGAGCACGATGAAGCAAGCGTTATTGGTCTTTTACACCTATGGTACTTTCAAACGGACAAGTGATATAAAAGAAGATGAAATAAAAATCCTGCTTATGATGTGAATGTGCTTACCTTCGTGAAATTCCTCCCAAAGGAAGATTTTTCCAGGACCAACTTGGTAGGCCTTGAAGGCGTTGAACCCGTGGCCATCGAAAACGAAATTGTTAAAGGCATTCACGCCATCCAGTTTGAATGTTTTCTTGTTTGCCCTGTCTACCTTGACGACTACGACGCGCACCCCAGGAATATCTCCTCGTGACTCGATGGCAATTTTAAACTCGCTTGGAGAGGTGACCGAATTTCCCTCATTAGCAAAACTTCTTACATGAGCTTTTACTTGTGCAGCCTTCCGATCACACGCATCTTTACCCCCCTATGGATCCATGAAATCGATTTGCTTCACTTGTATCTTGGAGCGTGAGGAAAGTACACTGCAGAAAGAATTGTACACGATAAGTGGTAGCATCCGGCATTATCTTGCCTGAAATATGCTGAGGTAATCTCTGGATGTTGTAGTTTTAAGGAACGGAGCACGTGCTCCATAATCAAAACTGCAGTTTCACTATCTTGCAGTCCTGACTCTAGAATATGAATAAATGTTTGTGCCTCGAACCGTTTGTCGGTTTTCCTTAGGCATACTGAAATGTGCCACGAAATGCCCCGTTTACCGAAGAAATCGCTTTGTGCTTCTCTATAGCGGGTTGGAATAAACTTCATTGCGAAGTCCTGGACAATCAGCATAGAAGAAGAGCTCATACGCTGCAGGATATCCAAGCGACCAGTGTCTTGATGAGCACTTCGTAACTGATGTAACTTCATTCTAAAATGCCTCACATGTTGGACCATGAAGATTGCTTCATCTCTGTCTTCCTCGTTTAAAAACTTCTTCTCATGTACTTCACAATTAATGTCGTCTAACACCTGCAAAAGAAGGCAGGACTTCAAAGCATTGAACGTTGGCAAACCGTAATCAGTACCTTTCAAACTTTGAAAATACTTGATCTGAGGTCATTACAGTTTTCCGTTCTCTTCCGCACCTATTCACTTTACGCTATATCTTATATGTTTTCAGTACTGTCCATAAATAGTAGACAGTTGGCAATGGAAGTAGATTATAAAAGATACATAAACACACACCTGACAGAGACTCGAGCATCGGTCACAGGCCACCTTATGTTCGTGATTGCATGGCGTTTGGTAAAAGCTGTTTGCGGGATCACTCAAAGCGAATGCTCTGCAATGATCCGGAATCGTAGACTCGAGAGCAACATGAACCTAGAGCATTGAAGAGGAATGAAAACAACGGACCGGCTAAAGTCGTTAAAAAAACTGCAAAAGTTATTAAGATTATGAAAAAATTCTACCGAATTTTGAAAACAAAGTAATTATTGAAAATCAAATATAATTGGCGGGTGGAAAGCACCTTATAATCTCCTTTTAAATACTGTTTGCCACTTTTTAGGGATTTTTGAGGGATTCTTTTTTCAAGTCCAATTTCTGAAGGCGAACTCATAAAAAGCGACCATGACCATGACCATGAGATTTTCACAAAATTTAAAATTGAACGATATGTTCGATGATAATTCATGTTGAGTGACCATGAGATTACATGATCGCCTTCCAACCGATCGCCTTCCAACGCTTGATGTACCAACTGCCTAAAACCTAACACCTCAATACAGGTAAAACTCCCCCTCTGGGAAGGGAGGGATGGGCATGTAATCTCATGGTCACTCAACAGATCGGTAGAATTATCATCGAACTTCCACTTCCAGCTAAGTGTCATTCAATTTTAAATTCTACATCACTGTCACGTGACCTGAGATTCCATGAGACTTCAAAGCCAAAGTTGGCACATCAGAAAAAACAAATATATGTGCCAAATGGCAACTAACAAACACCATACATACATTTCAAACCATTTATTACAAGGTTCTCAAAGGGAATCATTACCGTGTAAAAATAGCCTCCTGAAACTGAGAGGCACTACTAGATAGATAGATAGATAGATAGATAGATAGATAGATAGATAGATAGATAGATAGATAGATAGAAACTTTATTAAAGTGTCAAAAAACCGTCTAGCTAGGGAACAAATCCCTTACTAATTTGGGGACACCAATTAGGGGAGAATATACAAACTAAAAAAAAAAAAAAAAAAAAAAACTATATACAGTAGTAGGTAAAATATCTATAATTAACTCATTAAGAGATTTATAGTAAAAATACACAGAAGTCAAAATGAACAAAGGCTACAGCCTGCGCAGCCATCATCTAAAAGTTCACTTATATTGAGTTGGCGTATCTTACTTTTAAACGACGTTAGGGTTGTGACGTCCCTGATACTCTTGGGTAGTTTTGTCCATAGCCTAGGCCCTAAATATCTAATAGAGTGCTTGCCATAGGTGACTGTCTCATACCTAGGTATTGAGAAATCTGCTTGCCGCAGATTGTAATTACTATTTGGTTCTTTAAAGATGTTACTTATATATGCAGGGCACAGTTTATGCTTTACTTTATGCATAAGGATGCACAGATCCTGTAAGCGACTATTTAGTAGTGTTGGCAGATCTGCCTTCTCTAATAGTTGTTCATAACTAGAATTATTATCCTTGAAAACCGCTCTAAGTCCTCTTTCTTGTAGTCTTTCAAGCTTTCGAGTGTCACTCGCTTTACAAAAATGCCACACTAGGTGACAGTACGTGAGGAATGATAATATCGCGCTTTTGAATAATATTAACTTAGATTTCATAGGAATTAAATTACGTAGTCTCATTAGAACACCAATTCTCTGGCTGGCTTTTTTACAGATAGAGATTACATGCTCAGAGAAATTTAGCTTAGAATCTAACACTACTCCTAGAAGTATGATATTATCTTTAGTTTCAATCACAACATCATTCACGCAAATATTGCTGTCATTTTGAGTGAAGCCCAAGTTCAAAACTTGGTACTTTTTGAGGTTTCCCGCCAATAAGTTAGAATCGTACCACGTTGTTGCTGAGTTGGCACTATCCTTTAACTGGGAAGTCACAGCTGCCTGGTCTGCTCCTGCGTGGTAAATTTGATGGTCGTCGGCATACATAGACAAGTTCGCTGTTAGGCAGTAGGATAGGTCATTCTGGAAAACATTCCGTAACAACGGGCCAAGCGCGGAACCCTGAGGACAGCCACGACTCACGAATCGGCTCGAACTAACATGACGGCCGATCTTTACTTGATATTTCCGTTCATTTAAATAGCTGTTTAAAAGTTGAATAGCGCTTTCCTGAAAACCGTACGCTTCAAGCTTGTTCAGAAGTAGTGGTGGGTGTAACGAGTCAAATGCCTTTGACATGTCAGTTGAAAGTATGCTCACAACCTGTTTTCGATCCCTCGCCAGTCTCCAATCTTCTACTAAATTGATCAATGTTGTTTCGCAGCTGTGAGCTTTGCGATAAGCGGATGAGTGTTGGTAAATGCGATTACCAAAGCCAGAGTTGATCTGCGCTCCAACCAACTTCTCAAGAACTTTACTTACACATGGTAAGAGAGTTATGGGCCGGTAGTTTTCCTTTGCATTCCTGTCATCCTTTTTTTTTTTGTATACTGGGGCCCAATGCCCATACTTCCATTCACTAGGCCATGCATTCTTGTTAATACAAGAATTGAACAAGGTGGTTAGTGGAGCGGATAATTCATTAGCACCTGTTTTTAAAGCCTTTGAAGGAATTCCATCAGTGCCGGTGGCTTTGTTTATGTTCAGCGAATCGAGAACTGCAAGGACTTGTCCCTGTGTAACCAATTCGATTTCGATGGTCTGAGTGGAATTCCTATTTTCATGTTGTATCCTCTGAACACAAGGATGGTCTCTAAAGTCCTCTATTGACTTTCTTTCAATCGCTGTACCGCCAATGCCATCCGCCAAGGTAGCAAAATGCTCAACCAATTCCTCAGCCACTTGTTGTTGATTCGTTATCATACTGCCGTTTATTTTTAAGTGGATGTCGTTTCTTTCAGTACAGCTCTTAGAGCCCAAAAATGGCTTGAAAGTTTTGAAGAACGCCTTGGGATTGATTTTCAAATCGTTTGACTTATTATACCAGTACTGTTTGATGGCGATTCTTCTTTGTTTAGTGGCCTCGTTTCTGGCTTTACGTCGTAATTCCCAATTTTCTGGCGTTTTGTCTTTCAAGTACTTGTCATTTGCTTTGCGTTTAGTTCTAATCGCACTTTTCCAATGAGACGTCATGTAGGGCACATCTTTATCACGCACACGCATTTTTTTCACACAGGTGCCACTTCGTCCAGTATATTGTTCATAAGTGCATTCCACACGTAAACTTGATCGTCGACGTCATCAAACAATTGTCCAACGTGCCATGGGGCAGAGGACAAAAGCTGTTTATAATGTTCAGGGTCAAAGTTCTTATAGCTCCTAAATG